AATAGAATACTAGTTACTATGTTTCTCTTACCTACTAGTATCTATGTATTACTGGTACGTATCCACTCTCCATGCTAAAGAGATAGAAACTTAGATTAGTAGAACATAGAACTTCATTTTAGCATATGGTTTATATCATTCCTCATTAGGCCACACCAATTTAATTTCTTGGTTAACGGATTCGCCGCTTCATTTTTTTCAGATTTGCAAATAAAAATAAAAATCCAGAATCAACTGCAAAATGCTCACATTTTGCCCTGAACAGTTGAAAACAGACCTTTTCATCCTAGTTGTTACAGTTATTCCATCTTTCAATGCAATGGTATCATTAAAAGTTCAAAATTCATTGTTTAAATTTTGAACCAGCCTGGTATGTTGACTTCATGGCTCCTATCGTACCATTTTGGGCCATAATACGATGCCTAGGCCTGTTTTTATTTTTTATTTTTTTCGCCCGCCCGCTCCATTATTTTTCTAGAAAAATCCGTTAACCAAGAAATTAAATTGGTGTGGCCCGAGCGGGCGAAAAAAAAAACAAGGCGGGCCAAAAAAACAAGGTTCCTACATTATAAAATTTTGACTCAATCATTGTACGAATGGCTTTTATTTGGTGGGAACATCACATATACACAGCCATCATCACATATCATTGCATCAAAGTAAGAAACAAAACATTAAATCAAAGCCTTTTCTTGTCTCCTCTCGTCATAGTTATCTGCCATCCACCTTCCGGCATGGCAACAGACATCCTTGCCCATTTTCGGCATGTTGACCACTGTCAGAAGGCAACAAAATTTCTTTTTTTTCAAAAATCAGGCGAAAATTAATGCGCGCGCCGATGTCATCCATAAAAATTACTTGTTGTGGCCTTAAGCTTTAATACTGTATGGCAAAATTGGGGGAACATTTTATTTGTCCATTTCCCACGCAAAATTATATAAAAATGGAAAAACACAAAATCTATTACCTAATGAAATGTTGAATGAATGGATTTTATTATATGATAAATTTATGTTTCTTTCATGCTTTAATTTGCACTCTTTCAAATACTATTAGGAAAATTGTTTCCATTTTTTTTTTGGCCAGAACTAAAATATCAATTTTTATTTAAGAAGAAAGCTGTTTTAAATGCGATTGAAACATGCTTAAAATATTCTTTTGGCAAGTGCTTTTTGTTTTTCATATAGGCTCTTAAATATAATCTTAATTCAACACTTGGTTATTTTTAGAACTAGAAAAGAGCATAATTTACACGTATGGCATACAGATACACGGACTCAATGGACATGATATGAAATAACATGACTAGACAAGAACACGTTTGAAATTTTGAATAGTTACATTACGCATATATGTAGTACATAAACAGTGTGTGTATAAAGCATTTAGTGCTTACCTCAATGCGTCTTCTCTGAGCGTGGATTTTCCGCTTTTCTTTGTCACCTTCTCTCTGTCGTGTACTCTGTGCAGCATTGCTAGAAGGCTCAGTAAGAAAATGGAGCCTACACACACCGCTATGTAGCGCAGAACGCCCCGGGGCGGCATCGCTGGTGGTACCGAACAAATGACTAGTCGGGTGCGGTCTCAGTCACTTTTCTTCTACCGGTCCCGTTACACCGGCTTCAGCCAATCACGGCCTTCGTTTCACACGGCGTCGGTAGGTCGCACCAATCACAGCAGGCGTTCCGTCCCGTCCCACCTGTTGGATTACATAGGGGGCACCTGTTGGACGATAGTGGTTGTACCATTTTTTTTAGTTTTCATAAAAAATCTTAGATTACAACTGTTAACAACAGCGCCTAGACTTGAAATTTGTGTTAAAAAATTCGCGATGACATGTAACAAACAAACTATCTACTAGTCCAAACTTTCTCAAATAAACAAAACAACGCAGATTTCTCTAAACAAAACATACACTTTAGCTGAGCATAGCTTAAGTAACAAGTCAGCGTTCTCCCATTTAGATACAACTCCCCATTGACCGTGAAGTATTTACCGTATCAAAATAATGACACGAAATAGCCCCCCTCCCCCTATCTCTTGCGCAAGCTATAATAAGATTTCGTCGGACCGTTAATTTAAAGCGATCCACCGTTACATTCTTGTTTAGGCCACAGCAAGTAATTTTTATGGATGACATCAGCGCGCGCATTAATTTTCGACTGATGTTGGAAAAAAATTGTTGCCTTCTTACAGTGGTCACCATGCCGAAAATGGGCAAAGATGTCTGTTGCCATGCCGGAAGGTGGATGGCAGATAACTAGAAAGAGAGGAGACAAGGAAAGGCTCTGATTTAATGTCTTGTTTTTTACTTTGATGCAGTGATATGTGAAGCTGGCTGTGTATATGTGATGTTCCCACTGAATCAAAACCATTTGTACAATGATTGAGTCAAAATTCTAAAATGTAGGAACCTTGTTTTTTGGGCCCGTCTTGTTTTTTTCGCCCGCTCGCATTAGATTTGGAGTCTGCGGAGGATGTCATCCATAAAATTTACATGCTGTGGCCTTACATGAGCTAGTGAGTTCTATTATGTCAGCTTTGTCTGTTTGAAAAGAAAGAACGGAGAATAACAATGAAAATGTGGTTCCAAGACAAGTCTATGAGGAAGGCTAGCTTTAGACACAATCTTCGTGCGAAGGGTTTGCGACAGCCGACATTCGTGGGTCATTCGGGAATGTGTCGTACGAATTTGTCGTGCGACAGAAAAAGTTGGCGTAACGACTAGGTTGGCTCTATCATGATCCCTCGTTGAAAATTCGCCTTTTTTTTTGCTTTCTTTGATAATCTTTTTTTTTTCCTTTCTTGCAACTTTTGAGTCACGTAGGACTTCACCGGTTTCTTTTCTGTGTCGCTAACCTTAACCTGATTTCCTTACCTTCATTCATAAAAAAAACCACACAATTGTAATGGGCTGCAGTAGAGACGTTAGCCTAGTTACGTAATATGTTAGTGTAATTTTTCCTTTCTTACAGCTTTTGAGTCACGTAGCTAGTCACTGGTGTCTTTTCTGTATCGCTAACCTGGTTTTCTTACCTTCATTCATAAAATAACTCACACAATTGTAATGGGAAGCAGTAGAGACGTTAGCCTAGTTACGTAAGATGTTAGTGTAATTTTTCCTTTCTTACAGCTTTTGAGTCACGTAGGGCTTCACTGGTGTCTTTTCTGTGTCGCTAACCTGGTTTTCTTACCTTCATTCATAAGATAACTCACACAATTGTAATGGGAAGCAGTAGAGACGTTAGCCTAGTTACGTAAGATGTTAGTGTAAGCTCGTTCTTTTCAACCAGTTTGCCATGAAAGAAAAGATGACATATTTGACTAAGCCATTTGTAAACAGTTTTTCTAATACATTGTAAACCTCGTTGCCTAGTCCTGTGTAGCCTCCGTAACAGGCTTCTACATGTAGAACTGGGGGTTTTGTGGTCTTCGGCTGTTTTCTAAAATGGGGGTAATTCAACCAGGTCGGCTATGTTGTCTATATGCAATCAGAAAATAGCACATAAAAGCTCCCAAAGACCCTGAAGACCCCCCAAAACCCCCATTTTTTGGCATGCTATGGAGGTTAAGTCCTGTGCAGCATTTTACGCAAGGGCCCGACAATATACGTCAAACATGAACGATCGTTGTACGATCTTCGTACGAACTCTTGGGATAGTCGTGCATGTGTCCTGCGATATTCTACTGTCATAAAAGGCTGTCTTGGGTAGATCCTTGTCGGCAGTTTGTTCTGTAACAGCCTGCTTGGAAATTCTATCGCACGAAAATCGTACGAGTGACTTACGACAAAAATGCCCGCGCCCGTAAGATTTTTAACTGTAGTGCCCCTCATCCCTCAAATATATAACGTTATCCACACATACGTTTAGCTTTGTTGGATCTTAAGTTGTAGGAAACCATACAAAAGTCCCTGTATTTTTGTTGTGTCAATAAAGAATCATCTAATATAGAATAGGAAAGAAAAATTCAAACTAGAAAACGAAAGAAAATACCTCTTCCCCCACATACATGCCCAAAACAGACCGTATGTAATTCTAGAAAATGCCTCACCTGTTTTCCCTCGCCCAGTCTGTGCCAAAACGATCGGTCACGTCGCCAACATTCTACTCAAATTTTAGTCCCTCGCACGGCTTAATTTGACGCGTAGAACTTAAGAAACGCCTCGGCGGGATTTGCGCCTAAGAATTTGTCTCAGCCCTAAGATTCAATCGCTAAGATTCCTCAGATTTTCCCCGGTACTAGACTGTAAGAAGTGTAGACCTGTTCTGTCACACGGCCCTTTGTTGTAGAAAAAAAACGCACTGGAAAGAATGCAGTAATTATAGAAAATAAAACAGACCGGGGTCGGATTTCATATCCGGCTGTACCATTCAAGACATCGGAATAGGGGTGAGTCGAAATCCTTTTCTAAATATTTTACATTTCGAGATTAAGATTACTTATTATATAATAAAGTTTCATATGCGATGGAATAGACTTCGTGAATCAAAACCACAACTGAATTTGAAATGTTTTGCTACAGAAAATATCCACAGCACCCCCTGTTATAAAGATAGAATAACCCTAATAGGCTTAGTGAGTAAGGGGGGTTAGTTCTAGCCATATGTCTGTGGCTCAAGGTCATCTTCTGTCTACGTCCTTGTATCACCCCGTAACGTCATTATGCCGCTAACCTTGTAATACTTCGGTCTCATGAACAAGGTTAGTGTCACGACATATTAAAGACATTGTGGTGAAGATGCAAGGCACCATTGGTAATATATGGGGTGAATGCATGCATCTTCAGATTTCTATATACATGCATCTTCAGATTTCTATACACGCGCGCGCGCGCAAACACTGTACACTTCTACCTTTATACGTCAGCCACAGGTAAATGCGACCCTGCAATTTGGAGACAAATCGCCAGAGGCCACTGCTACACAGTCCATCTGCCAATACGTTTCACCGACGTCAGTGCGCTTCTCAGTCAAGAGAGCGCCTATTTCCAACCCTAACCCTAATCATAACTTCAATTCTAACCATAGCGATAGCCAAAACAACGGCTAAAAACATGGGACGGCAAAACATAACAGGAAATGTCGCTGTGAGTGACTTAATTTAGTATTTTGTACAAGGGTTCATCACAAAGGCCATAGTGCAACTTCACTACTACGTTACGTCATATAGTTACGTCAGTCATAGGTAAATGTAACCCTGCAGTTTGGGGACAAATCGCCAGAGGCCACTGCTACACGGTCCATCGGCCAGAGAATTGCTCAAACACTAACCTAGTTCCAACCTAGAAAATTCAACCCCAGTACTCCCTCTAAATCCGTAATACTAGTACCCGCAACTTCAATCCACCTAGCCAAGTTCTGGCCCGTCTACGGTCGCCATGTTATCTTGGGGAAGTGTGATCAGTCCTACATTCCAGAACTCCGGGAAGTCACGAACATGTCGCGGATATTCGGAAGTGAAGTTCGGTCGCTCGGAAATGGCGACGACCGTTCATAAAGGCGACGACCGTTCATAAAGGCGACGACCGTTCATAAAGGCGACGACCTCTCTGAGAAAAGGCGACGACCGTTCATAAAGGCGACGACCGTTCATAAAGGCGACGACCGTTCTGAGAAAAGGCGACGACCGTTCGGAAAGGCGACGACCGCTCTGAGAAAAGGCGACGACCGTTCGGAAAGGCGACGACCGCTCTGAGAAAAGGCGACGACCGTTCCTAAAGGCGACGACCGCTCTGAGAAAAGGCGACGACCGTTCGGAAAGGCGACGACCGTTTACGAGACGGAAATCTGCGTGGCGAAACGTCAGGACGAAACTGACCGATGGACCGTGTAGCAGTGGCCTCTGGCGATTTGTCCCCAAACTGCAGGGTCACATTTACCTCTGACTGACGTAAGTCACGTAACTATATGACGTAACGTAGTAGTGAAGTTGCACAATGGCCTTTGTGATGAACCCTTGTACAAAATACTAAATTAAGTCACTCACAGCGACATTTCCTGTTATGTTTTGCCGTCCCCTGTTTTTAGCCGTTGTTTTGGCTATCGCTATGGTTAGAATTGAAGTTATGATTAGGGTTGGAGTTGGAAATAGGCGCTCTCTTGACTGAGAAGCGCCCTGACGTCGGTGAAACGTATTGGCAGATGGACTGTGTAGCAGTGGCCTCTGGCGATTTGTCTCCAAATTGCAGGGTCGCATTTACCTGTGGCTGACGTAGAAAGGTAGAAGTGTACAGTGTTTGCCGATCGTATGTTGCAAATTACGGCATGCCGGCAGTTTTCTTCCCAACATAAACGTCTTGTGAACATCAAAACACTCCCAGCAAGTCTGTGGTTGATCTTCAGAAAAAAAAGACCGTTCGATGTTTGTAAGACGTGTTAGTTGTGTGTTTACTCAAGGAGCTTTCATCGAAAGCTCCTTGCTCCTTGGTTTACTTAATGGGAAAGAGGAAGAAGTATAGACAGGCTAGAGCGGGATTTCTATAGTACGGGATTATACCTGTCAGCCTTTTTTAAAGTCAAAATGTGATTTTGCAATCGGCTGATCGCTTGCAGAAGTGGTCAAATCCTTGTGATGTAGTGTAGTTTTTCGCTGTCGGAGATATTACTAGATATTACCATATCAATGAAAACCAAGCAGATGTCAGGAGGTTAAAAACTTGTTGTACTGATCATAATGCCTGGCCTTCTCAATAGCGCCACCTACAGATTTAATATTATATTGCAGTATTACTTCATCCATATACGCTAAAGTTATTAAGCAAAGAGACGGGTAGAAGGAAGGTTTGAGGTACATTTGTGTGTGTCTGAAAACGTTTCTTCCTCCGGGCGACTTTCTCGTAAGCGATTTCAGGACAATAAACCTGGATTTTCATTTTAAAAATCGTCGATAAAAGAAATGATCACTCGAATATTGAAGTAATATGATACACGTATGTCGCTTGACATTTTCACTTGTACCATGTCATTATAGACCTTAAAGGCATTTATCGGAATACCTGTAAAGTTTGTAAGTTGTCAAAATCAAAGTTGTCACTAGATAGATAATGTTCTTTTCGCATTTTCGAATTTGTCAGATAAACCAAAGATTAAATCATCGTATTTTTCTGGTCTGCATGGATGGTGATTGTTTATCAGCCTGTTGTTAATCTCATGTTAACTTGATTATCGAATTCAAATTTTTCTCATGATTTACAGGTGGCACCTATGCCTGTGCGGATAACACGTCATTCCAAGATGGCGAGTGTGCATTCATGGACGGGAAGAACGAGCGGGTAAAATTTCCGCCCAAGAAGACGCGCCACGTCCGCTTTAGTGGTAGGTTGTACTTTAAATTGCCGTAGATACTCTCCGGACTATAGTAGATAAATCTCGTTTGAGTAAAATGAATGAAAAAGACAGAATTTCGAAATTAAAGTTGAGGCATTGTTCCCCACGAGTTAACGCTGCACTACTTGAGCCACCGCTGGGGGCGCTTTTGTGTGGTCCAGTGGGAGGATAAAAAGTATTTGGAGTCAGGATGACTCTTCAACCAATTTGTTCATTGAAAACTTCAACTGCTTGCTAAGTTGAAATCTTATTATTAGTGGAATTGCATGTATGCAATGATGGTTTATTTGATATTGATAACGTTACAGAAATGTATATTTGACATGACATATATTTTTTCCCCATATCTTTTATTGCCATATTTAGAAACTATATGAAGTACCTTACATGTGTTATTAAAGGGTTAATGCACTGCCCCGAGTTGTATATGGTGTCATAACTGCATGAGCAGCTGCCATAACCACCGAATAAACCACCGTGTGAGCGAAGCGAACGAGGTGGTTTATGAGGTGGTTATGGCAGCTGCCCATGCAGTTATGACACCATATACAACGAGGAAAAGGCAGTGCATTAAAATTATTATCATATAGCCTATCCAAACTGTCAATCAACACAATTCCTGTTTGAAATACAACAGCTTTAATATATATACATACATAAAAATACATTCGAATATATTATACGCTTTAAAACAAATATGGATAATTTCATTTAATGCAAATTGTAGTTTAAATGAAGCTAAACAAAAAGTTTATTGGACAGAAAAATGCTACAAAGGTTTACAGAAAGAGTCGCATGCCCCTATACCCTATAACATAATGGTATCAGCCATAACACGACATGTGCTGTTATTCCGCCATAACACCACGTGTGCTGTTATCGGGAAATAACAGCACGGGTATCCGGGCCTCTGATTGGTCCACGCCGTCCGGCTATATGATAATGTCATTTATTGTAAAACATTTTGTGTATGCTATCCATCATGTACTGTATGAATCTAGAACCAATTACACAGTACTCAGGTTTCATGTTTTCAGTGGTAACATGACTTTACATACATGTACCTTTTGGTTGAAGCAGTTCAGTGTTTGATCCCATATTTTATGAAAAAAAAATGTAAAGTCATATGAGCTGTTGTTTAATAACTTTGAGATGGATTTCTCACTTGGTGTAATTGTTTTCAAAATGTTTACCTTTGCAGAACAGTCTTACTTAAGTTCTTGAGTACTTTAGAATGATGTTTATACTATTGCCTACTGTTTTATTTCTGTGCATAATGAGCTTGATCTGTTTTTTCAGTTTTAATGAACTGATATTTGAAATGCATTTCCATGTGTAAGCTAGTAATTTATTGAATGGCAACATGAGATGCATACTATATTTTCATTTGTTATTTGGATTGTGCTATCTTGTGTGAGATATGATTGTTGTTTTGTCAGAAGTATATGTTCACTGTTGGCTGTGCTCCTCTTTTGCCTCACTAACAATGTTCCATGTGATTTTAGAACAATTGTGACATCTTATTTGATATCATATGTGAGATGTATTTAAATTCATGTGATTGTTGCTTGGTTATGATATACTACATGACTGTATGTTTACTGCTTGTTGTGCTCTTCTTTTGCCTCAGTAACGATGTTCCATGTTCTCTTCCCCAACCAAAGCAGATTTTATGATGTCATGCATGTTATGTGAATATTGTAAACATTGGTGTATTGTTGGTGTATGTGCATTGCAAATTTGGCATGAAATTGTTCTGAATGTTTATTTCTTTTACGGCCAGTAGCTTATGGGAAGCTGAGACTGTACCTGACCATGTTCCTGTGTGTTCCGTGGGACCTGACTGTGTACCTGTCCATTCTCGGAGGATCTGTGTTCCTGTATTGATGGCATGGAGGATCTGTCAGCTGTCCTCTTACCTGTCCTATTCCAGGAGGATTTTCCTGTGTGTGTTC